TTTTATATATTTATAAATAAATGGTAGCTAAATAATAAATGTAAAACAAAAAAACAATTCATATTAAATGCATATTTTATTTACAAACTTTCTTTTTTTGTCTGAAAATATGCCCGGAGCAATAGTAGAGCATTTAAGGTTTGGTCATTTAGCCTACTCCTTATTTTACTTCCCAAATACCCATCTGCAGAAAATGCCCGCTCAGGTTCGATGCTCGTCGGTGGAATAAATAACAAATATTGGCATACTAATTCCAAATTATGCCCCCGGTTTCCACCATTTTCAAACAGATGCATTATTTTCTTTATGATTTACATTAAATTTGAAGTTTGTGTTTCTGGTTCAATGGCTTTCATGCTTTGTGCAATTTATTCTTGTAACTTTTCTCTTAAAGACAGGGAGGCTCGAACTTGTGATTCTTCATTTCTTACGACAGCCATTATATTTTCATCAACATCAATACTTGATTTTTCTAAATTATCATTTTTAAAAGCAGCTAGTCTCTCAATAAGTTTTTTTATCTGCTTCCTAATAAGGGTTTTAGGAAGAACTCCAAAAATTTTGCAGACATTTGTTTCATCATTCACAGCATCATATTTTGGATTTTGAAGGTATTTTAAAACACCAGAAATTTCTTCACATCGTCTTTTTTCCATTCTTGTTTTTATAGCTTGGAACATTTTATTAGCAAAGGGAGATTGTTTTTGAGCAAAATGCTGGAATAAAAATATAAGTACTGCATCTGCAGTGCATAGATTAGCATCTCGTCTGCATAACGCATCTACTGCTAATTTGACAGGTGCAAGTACTTCTATTATTTCAGAAAGAACCACAAAATCACTTTCGTTTAAGAAAACTGGGTGGTTTAAGTCAGTTAAAGCTTTCTGTATACATGTTTTTAAAGCAAGGAAACGCTCTAGCATCGATAGAAGAGAGTTCCATCTTGTTTTGCAATCCAAAATGAGCGAAAGCTCGCTGCCTTTCTCTTCTTTGACATATTTTTGCAAGACTGCATCATTTTTTGTCGGGGATCGTTTAAAAAGAACAACTACCTTACGGGCTTTTTTCACTAGTTCATTGATATTTTGTTCATTGGTGAGTAAATCCATATTTGCTATCCCATCATTTGTTGGGGGAAGAAAGCCTAATCCCATTTCCTCGTCGATATTTTCTTCATCTTCGTGATCATCTGTTTCGCCAACAATATCTGAACGAGTTTCCTTCAATGGTGCTTCGGTGTCGGACATTGGCGTAGAACTTTTTTTATAAAGAACATCACAAACTGCAAGATGAATTCCATGGACTAAACACAACTGGTGTTCAGCCTCAATAATTTTTCCCACACGAACCATTACATTTGGACCATCCGTAACAATAGCAACAATGTCTGTATCAATATTAACATTATGCTCCTTTAGACGTGTTTTTAAAACATCAATACATTTCTCAGCATTCATAGAACCATATACACGAATAAGACCCAAATTTCAGTGCTTATTTGGGATATGTACATTAATATTCATGTATCTTTTATTTGTTGTAGAGGTCCATTCATCAAAGCTCAGAGAAAATCGTGTTCCCAAAGCTTTATATTAATAAATTTCTTTGGAAATTAAATGTCTAATATTTAAGCTGTAACTCACCACTATCCTTTTAATTGAGTTTGCTGACTTGGGCAAATTTTCGAAACCACTGGTAATCAGTAATTGCCTTAAATCTTTTGATGTTATAAATACATTAAATGTTAGCCCATCTAAAGCTGTCATTCGAGCCAGTGTTTCGTTAAGGTTGTTTTTTTTTCGGATGCAAAGTAACTCGTTATTCTTCGTTTCGTAGGAGGCTTCTCGTCGGTTCTGGCATCATTCAACTGTTGACTCGAACTAGGTAAATTTTTGTCGGCTGAAGTTACTTTCAAATTATGCTTAGTTGATATTACACCACATTTCTTACATTTTGCTGCCAAATTATCCGCAGACTTCAAATAATGTGACCACACTGAAGTTGGGTCTTTATCTTTTTTGTGTAGAAAAAATGATGTTCCCTTTTCACTGTTTTCATTCATGTTTAGAAGGATATTTTTTAAGGTGCATTAGTAAACAACATATTATTGCGGTCAACAACAAAAGCATTAAAAAGGTTATCAGTTCAAAACGTTCAAAACGATTCATTACACAGTCAAATTTTGTATGTATTCACACTAGAATTCCTTCAAGCGGAATTGATTGTCAAGGGAATTATAATGTTGCAATAACTAATAATTGTACAAATATAATTATACAAATCGCTAGAAATATCCCAAAGGGAATTGTTATGTAGTAATCATTAAATTTTTTTAGATATAATTTTTTTTTATTACTTGTTCATTTTTATTTTTTTCATTCTCTAAAAATATTTTTTGAAATGAACAAAACGACTTAATAAACTCAAGCAATCACTTAACCACAAATTCGCTCAACAATTTTAAAATTTATCTTTTTAACGCGAGAAGTCTTGCCAACAAACTTAACGATTGTTTTTTATACAATAGTCAAACAAACCTGCCTTAATTTGTGTTTGTGAAACTTTTTTCAATGATAAAATCCCGAACTCCATGGTCTATTCAAAAATTTGTTCCATTTATCGTAAGGATAAAGCATAAACAGGATAAACCTGCAAAGCAGCATTATATAACTCGTTATAATTCAGTATAGTTACTAACTTTGAACACTTTGTTTTACAAAATAATTTAATTAGTTCGAAAATCCCGGGATTTTGTGTTTAGAATCCCGGGATTTTCGGGACCCAAAAACATCCAGGATCCCGGGATCCGGGATCCCGGGATTGCAATCCCTAATTATAATCATTCACATATAATTATGTATATACATATTTTTTAGCTATATACCTTAATATAAATGTATCATACATCTACAAAAGTAGTGTTGGATGAACTCTATTTTTGTTCCGAAAAAAATTGAATACTCAGATTTGAAAACAATTTCAAATCAAGATAAGACTATTCGAAATAAAAAAGTGAAAATTATTAAATTGTATAGCTCAGATTTTTAGAAAAAGAGTTTTGAAAATGTAAACAAATCACGCTTTTAACAGTCAGATAAATGTATGAGATAATCACAGTTTTTAATATACTAAAACATCTTTATATTGTTTTATCATTTTTGAATCAACAATTCAATTATCTTTATTATTATTTCATTCTATCAAAAATATGCAAATAATAACTACTAAGTAAAACTCTAAAGATGTTGTTGCTACTCAGAAAAATGTTTGTATCTAAAGGCCGTCACCATCTTTAAAATTATAATATTTGAATTTGACACTGCGCTTGCGTATAAATAACTTTCCACATCTAAACGACTGTGACTGATGCCAAATGAGGAAGCCTCGCAAAAATTTGGGATGGTGGAGGCCTGGGAACAAAAAAACCCTAAAACGTTTTTACCCCCCTGCCAAACGAGAGGGCACTGATGTAGTAAAATTTTCAACTTTACTATCGTAAACTATATTTAAATTTATTGACAGATTTTAAATTTCGTGGAAAAATTTGTAATTTACAAAAGTTATGACTATCCAAATTCTCCAACCCCCTCAAAATGAGGAGGGTGTAAATTTTGCATGGTCATAAGTTTTTGATGTTTCAGATAGGACACTCATGAAGTGTCTTATCTGAAACATCAAAATATCCTCCGTACGCCTCTGTTTTTTTTTGTGTTTTTTTGATTTTATATTTTTTGTCTTTTTTTATTTTAGGGCCGTTTTGCGGAAGGAAATCGAAAGTTTAGACAACATTTTATAAGATTGTAAAAATAAGTTAAAAGTGGTTATTTTTGAAAAAAAAGATTTTTGTTAAAACAAATCAAAAAAAAATACAAGACTTTTACACCAACTTTATGTTACAAGCACTATAGATAACACATATATGTTAAAATAATATATCATAAAATATCGGCTGGCAGTGATTGTATATATAACAATAATTTTGTTGTATAAAATGAAAAAATTGGCAGAAAAGAGGAAATCTCTACTAAACATACAGATCTTGCTACGAGCCGTTTTTTTGTTTTAGCTCATATGTTTAATTTCAGATTTCCATTCTCTGCTTGACATAATACATTATTATTAGAAAAATATTGACAGAAAATGTCCGCAGTGTTTCTACGGATAATTATATTTTAAGTAATATATTTCTGATGTTCCTGATCATTACCCTGATCACTGCCATTGGGTCAATTTTTGTTGCTAAACATATGGTGGCATCTGCTGTTCCATATTTTTTCGATAGATTTGCTGTTTCAATCAAGAAAATCGAATTTATCGGAGAAATATTGTTTTGGAATGTCAAGAAGTTACATCATGTTTAAAATACAGTAGGCAAAAATATGAATGTTGTTCTCAATTTTACTACAAGTATTGCATTTGTTATTTTTAACGATCTGTTGCCTTGTGCTTTTGGCTAGTAAGGCCGCAGAAGGTAAACTGTTGTTTAAAAAACGAAAGATCATATTTTGTGTCGGTCCGCATGCGTGGGAAGTAAATTTTTTTTTCCAAATTTGGGTGCGCGGCATTGTTTTTTTTTGTTGAACCGTTCCAGAAAAGTTCTGCCTGCACGACTCTTTTTTTTTTTTTTTTCACTTCTACGTAAAACTTTTTTGTTAATATTAGGGGAAAAAAACAGGGACCCGTTTTTGCCTGATATTTCAATTATTGTTTTGTAGTTCTGAGAGGTTTTGTTGTCCCAGTGTTTTTGAAAATTGTTTTGTCTCAAAAAGTTCCAGTTTTGGTTTTGGTTCGTAAATTTTATAAATGAACTTGCCAACCAATACTTTGCAATGTAGTAATAATCGTGAGTTTTATCCTCTCCGCATTCATTCAGTTGAAACAGTGTTTTGAGACAAAGTGCAAGACTTTGCCCCTTCGGTGATAAAATTTCGAGACCCCCACTTTTGACGGGTAAAAAAAGTGTCTCTCTCTTGACCAGATAGAAAATTGATAATGGATTAATTCAAAAAAAAAGTTTCTGCGTTCGTTACAACTTTCTGCATAAATTTAGATAAATCAAATTATAAATATAAAAAATAGACTACATTTAAACGTCAAGAAAATACAAGTAAGATGATGTTCAAAGGTGTTAAGAATTTTTGTAAAAAGGTAATCTAAATTATAAAAATATCAAACTTTAAAAGATCTAGAAATTATCTGAACCAATATAAATTTTGATTTGTATGATAACTTTTTAACAAAAAAAAGATTATGGATTAATTCAGAAAATAAATTTCTGTGTTCGTTACAATTTTCTGCATAAATTTAGATAAATCAAATTATAAGTATGAAAAACAGACTACATTTAAACGTCAAGAAAATTCAAGTAAGATGATGTTCAAAGGTGATAAGAATTTTTATATAATCACTATAAAATATTCTAAAATTATTCGTTTGCTTTTGCATTTTTAATCGCAATAAATTCTTGTAAAATGGTTTACTTTCTTCTCAATTTCATTTATTTTAGGTCTTTGAACAGGGCTAAACTTCCAACACGCCTTCATAAGATTACTAATATCTTGGTCAACACTTACATTGGATGGAATGTCAGGAGTTAAACCATTTTCTCCCACTTGCTTTTGTAACTGAGCATATGAAAGATTATTAAATGGCTCTTCTTCATAAATTATTTCAAAAAAAATTAAAGACAACGAGTAAATGTCACACATAAACCACGCAGATGCAGCTATTAGCTCCCCTCTTAACACTTCTGGAGCGGAATAGCGCGGTGTTCCAATATTTTTATAATATTGTTCAATACTGGAGCCCGAAGTTTCTGTATTATGTTTAATGATGCTTAATCCGAAATCGCAAATTTTAGCAACGCAAACGTTTTCCTTTTCATTATAACGTAGTAAAATATTTTGAGTTTTTAAATCACAATGAGCAATTCCTTTTTCATGCAAATAAAGTAAACCCTTGCATACTTGTGATATGATTCTAAGACGTTCTTCCTCAGAAAAGTCTATATCAATCTTAGCTTCAAACAAACTCATATCCATGTATTCCATTATAATGCATAAGTTTGGAGTAACTGTGCATGCACCTAAAAATTTAACAACGTTTGGATGATTTAACGTATAATAGTTTGTAACCTCTTTTGTAAAATCTTTTAGACGATTTTTTGAAATTTTCTGAAGACGTAGTTTTTTTACAGCCACAATTGCATTATTCCATTTAGATAAATAAACTTCCCCGAAGCCCCCAGATCCAATTTTTTTAATCAGCTCTAATTCTTCGTATGCAACATCTCTTCCAGATATGTTTGCAAATGATTGTAACGTCTTTATAGGAAATAATTCTTGCGATTTAAGTGCTAAATTATTTTCAATAGCTCTTCGATCCATCAAGTTTTGTATAATTTCCTTTGAAAACATTTAACAAATGTTAAATAACTTAAGTTATACTACATTATTCAAGGAAGGTTGTAAATAATTTAAGTTATTTATATATACAAAGTTTAGGTTTTAAAATGATATTTTTAATATTAGTTACCTGAAGCTTAATGTCGTATCCACTATAGTCATTTAGTTGTGGACATAATTCTTCGTAGGGAAAGGTGTGTAGAGAAACAACTTCTACTTTTTTTCTTAATGGTTTGGAACCAAGTGGTAACCCAACTCTTCCGTGTCTTCTGTTGAATGCGTTATCTTTGTAAATTTTTTTTGATTTATTATTTTCTGTCAAATTATCAGCTTCTGCCCCCATTCTTTTTTCTTCTTGTATTTTTGTCTTTTGACTTTTTTTTAGAATTTGATGATTGCCTTGTGTTGGACTATCATTATTTTTTGAAATAACCATGGAGCCAACTTCTAATCCAACTCTACCTGCTCTACGATTAAAAGAATTGTCAGCATATGTTTTTTCATTAGAGTGAGGACTGCTTTTTGTTGAACTGTCACTATTTTTTGAAATAACCATGGAGCCAACTTCTAATCCAACTCTACCTGCTCTACGATTAAAAGAATTGTCAGCATATGTTTTTTCAATAGGTTGAGGACTGTTTTTTGTTGAACTGTCACTATTTTTTGAAATAACCATGGAGCCAACTTCTAATCCAACTCTACCTGCTCTACGATTAAAAGAATTGTCAGCATATGTTATTTCATTAGAGTGAGGACTGCTTTTTGTTGAACTGTCACTATTTTTTGAAATAACCATGGAGCCAACTTCTAATCCAACTCTACCTACACTACGATTGAAAGAATTGTCAGCGTATGTTTTTTCATTGGAGTGAGGACTGCTTTGTGTTGAACTGTCATTATTTTTTGAAATAACCATGGAGCCAATATCCAATCCAACTCTACCTACACTACGATTGAAAGAATTGTCAGCGTATGTTTTTTCATTGGAGTGAGGACTGCTTTGTGTTGAACTGTCATTATTTTTTGAAATAACCATGGAGCCAATATCCAATCCAACTCTACCTACACTACGATTGAAAGAATTGTCAGCGTATGTTTTTTCATTAGAGTGATGATTGCTTTGTGTTGAACTGCTATTATTTTTTGAAATAACCATGGAGCCAACTTCCAATCCAACTCTACCTACACTAGAATTGTAAGCATTATCTACGTAACTGCGGTTTGATGATGCTGTAGATCCAGAAGAGTAACTCGCATAATTACTACTTTGTCTACTTCCTGAGCTACCACTTGAAATAACTGCGCTTCCATGAGCCATTCCAACTCTACCAGCACTTCTGTTATAAGCATTGTCAACGTAGGTCTTAGACATTTCTTAATAACAAAAAGAGATTGTGTTTTGTTTATATGTGTTGTTGTATTTTGTTGAGATGTAGCATAGAATAAGTTTGATTTAGTGTACCTTCAGTCAGAATTTCTACTGTCAAGTTTTTCTAAAAAGTAAAATTAAGAATTACATCTTGTATTTGAATTTGTCAAAGTGAAAGTGTGGATTCTGATTATACTAACTTTCACTCAGATAAAATTGTTTACAAATCTATGTTTTATTATTTGCTTAAAGAAAACAATTTTAATTTTTAATTAAAAATACAATGGTTGACAAAACGAGACTTATAAATTCACAAAGGGAAACTTACATAGCTTAAGGTTTTTAACATCATTTGCTAGTATCACAAGTAATTATAAAAACATAGCAGGTAAAAATAAAAACATAAAGTAAAGATCTCGCTTATAATAATTAATTAGGCAGTTAAAAAACCAGTAGTTTATAAAAATGAACTAAATCATATGTAGGATTAAAATTATTATTTAAACTTTAAAAGGCTCAAATGTTTTCAAGAGATAAATTTTTTTTGCGATTTAAAAAAAGGCAATTAAATACATTTACCTATTTATATTACTATTAATTAATACCTATTGCTTGAGAAATAAGTCAACTGTTATTGCTAATTTATTCTAATTTATTTTCCGTATAAGCAATTTGCAATTTTCTAAATAACAGCTTGCAATCGTAAACACGAAAAAATGTTTGGTGAAAAAACAATAATAAAACAAATTAGCCTCGGCGCAAGTTTGTTATATATTTACTTAAATTTAAACTTGTTTATATGAAAAACGGACTAGACCGGATAACTGAGATTTTGCCTAATTTCAGTAGGACCTCACTCAGGTGAGACATATAAACAAAAACAAGGGAGCCAACCCTGCTCATGATTGTAGCTGATTGGATAAAATATTTCACGTCATTTTTTTTATCCAATCAAAGGTATTCCCGATTATTTTTAAAACAACCAATAAAATAAAAATAAAAATGCGCAACTCAAATTTAAACTAAAATTCCAATGTAAACATTTTCTCATGTTTAAATTTCTTTAGGCAGCTTGGTTATAAACAGTCCTTAACTACTGTCCCTAAGTAAAATTCTTCTTTTGTTACGGTGAGATATATTAAAAATTGCGCCGGGAGACCGGGGCAATTTTTTTAATAATAATATAAATAATAATAAACAATAATAACGCAATAGCAATTTTTGTTGCTTAAGAATCTATTTTCAAGGATAGTTAAATTAATTTTACATGAACATGTTAGAATAGTTTGTGACATATATATTACCATTAACTTATTCAAATTAAAAAAAAAAGTTATTTTTTTATTTTTTCGCAGCCTTAACAAATTATCAATAGTCACAAATAAAAATACTGTTTTCATAGTTGGAACATTACTCAGGCCACCACATTTGGCATTTACAGCACTGAATCCATTCTTCTGCAGAAGGGATATCTTATAACATTTGATGCTTATGTAACTAGAATGTTTGTCCTGGATTTTATAGAACTAAACCTACAGGAACTTAGCTTGAGTTTATTTACACTCTTTTTAGCTTACGAACTTCTATACTTTCTTGTTCTTCTTTCTGCTTTTTTCTTTGTTTTAACAGTTCTTTAAAGGGTGTTGTAAATAATACAACACCCGAATGGTGAAGGGTGTACTTATAAGAAAGCTTGGAATCATTTTTTTCTCACGTTCTTTTGCTTTAGACAATTGTTTGAAATCAAAAACACTAACCAACTTCTTTGGCGCATCTGAATTAGCATTTGTTATCAGTTCTTATGGAACTTTTAACCAATGGCTCATATGATATTTTTCTACTACTTGGGTCTTATTTAAGCAACAGCTTCTGGATCATAATCATGGTTAGTTTAAGAAATTCCGAAACACGGGGCAAGATGAAAAGCTTGCCATCTTGCCCCCATTACCTTACCCCGAACTGCCTGTTTAAAAATATTCGTTTTCTTTGCCATGAGGGAAGGCGATTATTTGACATTTTTTTTTTTTTTTGTAAATAGGTAGTACTTAAACTAAGTTACTTATAAATGTTAATGAGAAACAAAATAGCTTACCTTTATCTGAATCAGAGCTTATTTACACATAAAAGTTAAAACAAGGCAGCGGTAAACAATCAAAGCTTCACATCTAATAAAAAAATGGCAACATCAGCGTCTTCTTACTATTTTCTAACAAACAACCTATAGGAGAGTCATTAGTTTCCAATTATTTCTGCCACCTAGTAAAAAACTGAATATCAATTTTTACAAATTTTTTAATGAAACTCTTTGTGACTAAAGTTAGGTCTAGCATTAATGAAAAGTACTTAGCTACTTTTATATCCGCAACATTCTTAGACTTCACTTTTTCAGAGCTTTAGCAATGTTTAAACGCATTTCACATTCCTTTCACTCTTTAACGTTCTCAATATGCTTTAAATGACACGTCACTAATTAGTGACGTTTCAAAGGAATAAAGTTCTCGGCTAAGATGTGCACAATCAAAGTAACCTTCGCAAGATAATTGAGACCCAGTGTTGATACCAAATAATTCACAGCAAAAACAAAACACCTTGTCAATAGTTTTACTTTATTCAAGCAAATGCCATTGTACCTCTTCTACTTTGCTCATGGCTTTTTTTGTAATTATAGTTAAAAAATTATAGCCAAAAAATGTTTTTTTTTCGGATTTTTTTTTAATGAAAATTAATTACTTACCAAAGGCCATTTTGGATAATTTCATCAAATTCAGCAGTTTTTTTTTTTGTTGCTGCATGCTTTCTTCATGAACAGGCGTGTTTTCGGAACATCAAAAGAGAAGTCAAAATTGAACGAGCACACACAGTTGGAGTTTTGAATAATAATCGTGAACGAATAATTGTTTTGAAACTGTACGACTACGAGGACAAAAAAGTGATCACTGATAACGCATCGAAACTTAAAGGTACCAATACTTTTATTAATGAAGATTTTTATTAATGAATAAATGTGAAAGCTCAGAAAATGTAATACACCTCGGGATAAAATAATTTATTAATATATTTATAGGTAAATTATCATAAACTTACTTAAAAATGGATTCGAATAATATTTTTAAGTAAATATAATTTTTGACCCTTTTGAAGACAATTTAAAAAATAACAAATATTTTTCAAGAAACTCAAAGGAATTTAATGAAAACACCGTATTTTGATCCTTATGAATTATCTATTGTTGATTATATTTTGTGATATTGTGTTTTAAAATTTCCTTATTTTTTGGTTTTTTTTTTTATATAAGTATGGGTAGGCGAGGCAAATTAATAAAAAAAAATTGTCAAACGATTTTTAACATAAATTCAATCTTTTTTAGAAGTTCTTGGGAAATAACAATAGTTTTTAAAAGAATTGGGTTTTTTCTAGTCCTACCACCTTAGGTGGTAGAACTTCTAAAAAAGATTGAATTTATGTTAAAAATCGTTTGACAATTTTTTTTTATTAATTTGCCTCGCCTACCCATACTTATATAAAAAAAAAAACCAAAAAATAAGGAAATTTTAAAACACAATATCACAAAATATAATCAACAAATCACAATGAATTTTTGTAGGTTTGTTCTTCAACAATAGATAATTCATTTGAACTAAAATGACATTGAATCTTAATAGAATAAAAAATATACATAATTTATTATGTATGCATTAAAAAAAAAATACCAAATTGAGAATAAAAAACAAATAATAAGCAATAAATACATTTAATCATTATAAGATTTTAGTTTAAATGAACTTTATATGTATACTGAAGATACTGTGAAAATTTCAAGTAAATTGAATTTTTCTAACTTAAGATAATTGGTTTTGAAGTTACAAAATCTTGCAAAAAATCAAAGTTCAATAAAACGCAAAATAAAGTTGTAATATGTTTAAAAATATATATACAATATGTTTAAAACCCTCCTGATACATAAAATGATGTTTTATTTTGACTTTGTTTATCAGAGTATCTTTTTTTATTGCTCTGAGACTTTTTCTTCTATTTTTTACTTTTTCACTTGACTTGATCTCCATGCTCTTTACACGTGAAACATTTTGTTCATAAGATTTAGAATTTGTAACAACGCCTGATAGTCCAAATGAAAGTAAAACATTTTTAACACCTTCAGTACCATCATTGTAGTGTAAAATTGCTGAATTAATACTCATTTCAAAAGTTTGTTTACAAACAAATATGTTTTTAGGGCAACAAGACCAAACCAATGCATTAAGACTTTCATTTGCATTTTGGGTTTGCCCATGTACACATTTTAACAACAATTCTTCATTTGATAGATCTTTAAACACTGGTTTCAAAAGGTTACTAATCCATAATGGTAAATTAATATGTTCTTTATAATTTGAAGTATTATGTAATTTGTCATATTGATATTGACACCAACTAGTTTCAGTTCTTGGGCAAAAGCAGTGGCGAAACTCTTGATTTGAATATCCAGTACAGTGGAACAAAATAGCCCATATTGCCTTTTTCATGGCATAAATCTTATTTGTATTACTTCTTATAGCTAAACTATAAAAATTTTGCATACTATTAATCACATTTTCTGTGAGTTTATTTTTTCCACCTAGTGGAGTTGGCTTTCCTTTGTAATTTTTGATTAAATTTTGTAACCGTGTACCCATTCTTTTTTATACATGTGCAACACACTCCAACTTTTCAGGAATTATAGGGATCAGACTTTATTACTCCTTTAAAAGATGAGCTATCTCCATCTCCAAGATAATGAGTATAAATAATATTGTTATTTTTAATTGAACGTGCAAATAAAGTTTTTCATAGATTGATACCCTTTACCTATTTCTATAAATCCAATTATCATTCTTGTGTTTGCTTCAAATGTTTTCCTACCCTGGGCTGTATTTCCATTAAATTTACTAATCTGCTTAGAAGAACACAAAACCTTTTTCCATTCACATAAACTACACTTGATTTCAAGGTGATGGGCAAAACCCATGCGCTTAGAAAGATTATCAACAATGGTAACAAGGCTGTAACAATCTGGACATCTAACATCTTCCACGATATCACTTAAAATTGAAAAATTGATAAGTATGAAATAATCTTTATTCACTTTGTCATTTACAACTTGATTTCTATTTATCAGTGGCAGTAATTTTCTTGCACTTGCACAACTTGAAGCTGGAACAATATTCAGATTGCTTTTCTGTTGTCTTTCTGCTGCAATTGTATAACGATTTCCATGAAAAAATCTTTTCTTTTTTCGTCCAAAGTTTTGCTTATTAGATACTTTAATGTTATTTCTTAAAGTACTCATTATTTATAATACTTGAGGTGAAATCTGAAAAGGTTTATAACATCAAAATTAAACAGCATGCACTAAAGTTGCTTCAAAAAACTGCCAAAATATACAATGTTCCTTAAGTTAATGACCTTTAACAATTGCATGTTTATCAGTGTATGATATAAATCTTGTTGTTCTCTATGGAAAGGTATCAAGGTAAAAAAACTGTTTACCGTTGCTAAGGGCGTAGCTAAGGACTAGTCGTTGTATGTAGTTACATAAAAGCTTTAAAAACTAAATAAGAAATAATTTTTTTTAAAAAATTTTTTCAATACATGAAAGCTAAGTAATTTTCCTTCGAAAATAAAAAATAAAAAAAAAAACGATTTTTTAAAAATTTTTACATATTTTTTTAGCTCTACCACCTTAAAGGAAAAAAAAAATTATTTCCTATATTACAAATGCATATTAGGTGCATAAACCGTAACTTTGACAAGTTTAAAGAATTCTTAAATGTTATAAATTAGCTGAGATCGGACCCGTAAAAATACGGGTCTTTGTAAGTCTATTCCAAACCGAACTTTTCAATACCTTTTCCTTATATATCCTAGCTTTTCGAATCCGTAAAATACGGGTCTTTACCAACCCTACTATTTCTATACATACCTATTCCACACCGATTATTTCTATGCTTATTCCTTATTTACTTCAATACTTTTAAGTAAAATAATTTTGTTCTGAAAAACTACTTTAAGAGCAGAAAATTATATAAACAATAAAACGCCATGGAATCGCCCACAAATTACGCAACGCTAGATTTATTTTTCAAAAGTAGAAGAGATCTTCAGTTCTTTAGGATGACGATTTTCATTAAACTTAATAAACTCTAAAAACTTTAGATCATTTTTATTTTCTTCAATTGTGAAATTTAACGTTGAGTAATTTTTGGACGATCCCTTATTTTAGATAAAGGATAAGCCAAAAAGTATATAAAGCTAAAAAATAATAGAGTATAATATTATTTTAATGGTTATCTAAATTGTGTTGTGATTGCGCACTTGGTTTTGTATGTTTAACGGGGGCGTGAATTAATAGCAGTATAGCTCTAAATTTCCTTATTATATCAATATTAAATATAAAAGTTAAACTTTAACTTTTAATTATTTTTAGAAGTATTAAGTTTAATATAATGGTTTCATTTAAATATAAAATTAGAATTTTTTTAATTATGTTTTTTATAAAAAACATATATTTTTAATCCCCGTACTGTTTTAAAAAACTTAAGGTCGCCGCGTTGCAAGTTCAAATCATCAGCTTGCTTTATTTTTAATTTTTGTTGTCGTAACCCATAAAATATGGATCTTATGCGGTAGTGGTGTAGTGGTAGAGCGCTCGTTTCATAAACGAGTGGTTCCGAGTTCGATCCACACCACGTCCCTGGTAGTACCGCGCTCAACTCGCTTCTCCGCGCAGCGGCCTTGCTCGTCAAGGTTCGTGTTTCGGAGTTATAGAGTTGAGAGAGGGTTATAACCTTAAATAAGTAGCCTCCTTGTCTGTAGTGGCCTTCTCGGCCTTGAGGAGGTGAAATAAAATAATTAAAAAAAAAAAAAAAAATGTATTCCAAACCGACCTTTTCTATACTAAATCTATACCTCAATATATTTGAGTTAGAGGTAGGAAAATAACTATAAAAAAACTATACTCATTGTTTTAATTTTTGAGCCATAAAATAAAATTCTATCGTAAATAATTTAAAAAAATATGAGATGATTTAAATATGTGAAACAACAGACATACCATGAGCAGTTTAATACTGGTCATGGTAAGTCTATTCCACACCAACCAAAATAACTTCTCTTTATTTCAATAATTTTTAAAGAGATAAATATAAAAATCTTTGTTTTGATATAGCCATAAATGTTCAATACTTCTAAGTTCAACAAATTTCTATAAAAAAAAAAAAAAAAAAAAAAAAAAAAAAAAAAAAAAGGGGCAGCGGTTATTTTCTTCTTTAATAAATCTTTAATTTTTTTCGAAACTGCAGCTTATTAGGATTCTTGCCGTTTTAATTTTAAAGAAAAATCATTTTTTCTTTAAAATTAACAGGGCATATAAAATATTTTTCTATAAGAAATAATATTGTCCCTTTAATGCACAGACATAACTAATAAATACACTCATTCCAAACCTACACTACGATACACTCATTCCAAACCTTTTTTTATTGAAATGAAAATTCTTAATATTTACGAACTTAATGTGTTTAATGTTTTATGCTTTATGTATTTGTGGAAAAATGACTTATCCCTACCTATCTTTAAAGTTCTTTTTTGTGAAAAACCAATAAATAAATTAGTTAGAAATAATAAATTTTTGCATAAACCTTTTTGTCGAACAAAGTTTAACCAGTATGGTATTGCTTATCGTGCGCCATATCTTTGGAATAAAGTTGTTTTGCCAAACTTTAATATATTTTACACTTTTCCAATTTTTAAACATAAACTCAAAAATTTAATTTTATTTTCCGATGACATAATAAGGTTCTTCTAATTGTAATTATGTACCTTTATTTAGAACTTTTTAATTGTAAAATACGTTTTATGTAACGACTCTTTTTGTTTTACTT